ACAGCTTCATTGTAGTTAAACGGCAATAATTCAACAAACTGCTGATCGCTGTCACCGACAGATATTCCTATTCGAAATGGCAATTCGTTTTTTTTTTTTTGTTATGGGGACGACATTCTTTTTATTCCTAACTTAAATTTTAATGATTTTCTGGTAGTTCCAAAATACTGAAAGTGTATGCAAATAAATTGTTTAATATACTCGTTTATCACGATGTAGCGAACAAAGTTGGTGTTTGCCTTTGCCGTTTTTGACCGTTCTCAATTTATAGTAAACAACGCCTTTTCTCACATTTTCTTTATTAATTATTTTTATAGATATTATATTTGTACAATTTAAAGCAATTAAAACACGTTTCTTATCGAAAACTGGAATATTAAGATAATTGACTAATCTAACATTTTCTTTTATCCTCCTATTCGGCTTTGTCTATTTTTAATTGAGAAATGACATCGCCATCGGCAATGCGCAATCTTGTATTCTATCATTCTTGCTCGTTTATCTAATAATATCTAATATATGATGCTTTAATTCGTGCTAAGTTAAACCATGCTACTTGGACACGCACATGTAAACACATTCTTAAATGGAATTACAACTTTGAACCGTGCTACTATAAATCGCATTTTGTATGTTAAACCAAAATGAACATCAACATTATAGAAAAAGCATTTCTCTATGGTGGAATCATTACATTATTAGGCATATCGATTTTTTTACATCGGTAGATTAATCGAACCGGGCGCAAGAAAATCGAAGAAACTCGACTGTGGTAGCTTCGATTAATCGATATTCATTGTAATTCGAAACGGAATCTCTATAGTCTTGTATAAAAGCTACATACAAAAATTTGAACTTTTCGCCATATTGATTGATTGATTGGTATGCTATTTGCAATTTTCGTATAGTAAAAGTCTGCGAAAGAAATCCAAAACTTTCTAAACGTTAGCAAACAACAAATCGCGGTATCGGTTAGCGTTTTCCTAAACATAGAATTTGCAAACTTTCGGTGTGTGCCAGAAGGCTTTAATTTTTCAACATTTCTATTGTTTTTTTTTTTGCGTAAAAAGAGCAAACATATTTACATGTGTATGTATGCATGATTCTAGTTTAGGATATATGTTTATTTTAGGTGTACGCAAATATCCACACATATTTGGAATCTTCGATACACTGTTCAACAGGTCGGTGCTCGCTCTACCAAAACACAAACCATATAGGAAATATCAAAGAAGAAAATTTCAATACCAGTAGCAATGGCAACAAATAGTACACGTCAACTACTTCCGGATGTAAATGGCCATGACCTCCCTCATTTCATTAAGAAAGTTCTGAATAATATATGCGACTTCTACGATGAACAGGACCTCATAGATGTAACATTTAAGTTGTCTAATCCGACCGCTATGTAAGTGTACCACTGATTTATTTATGCATTTAACATTTTTGTTTTATTTAATTTGGCTTCTCACAGGATTCCAGCACACCGCTTAATACTATCAGCGGCAAGTCCATATTTTAAAGATTTATTCAAAAGCGACAAGGGCCTAACTCCTGTTATCGAAGTAAATGACATAGACAGTGACGCCTTTGAGCGTTCAATAACATTTTGCTACACCGGCAAGGCACTCATAACCATCGAAAATGTGGACGCAATGCTGAAGGCAGCAATATATTTGAAGTTGGATGAAGCGGTTGTCGCTTGTGTTGACTATATTTTGCAGCATATAACTGAGTATACACTGCAGCGGGCATATTGCTTAGAGCGTGAAACTCAGTGTGTATCACTGCAAGAGAAACTCTTGGAATATGAAGTAAATAATTTCATGGAGGTGAGTCATATTCAGGATATTCATGGAAACGCGTAAATGCCTGCAAACTTGTAAATAAACTGGTTTTCCCATAAAAGTTTACGTGGTTTACGTGGCTACGAAGCTTTTCCGCATTTAGAAATCGCAATATTGCTTTTCTTCATGACAAGCAGAGTTACCGGGGTAGTGCACTAAATTTTGAATGCACTGATTGCTCAGAGGTGCGCACTAGCACTCTGTAGGACCTGGGTCCGATCCCTGATGTGTACAACATCTAAATTATAAAAAACTTAACAGTGGCCATCTCTCCTCGGGCAATGGCAAACCTCTGAGGGTATTTCTGCCGTGAAAAAGCTTTTTATCAAAAAACCATTTACCGTTCGGAGGCGGCATATAACTGTAGGTGAGGGACCTTTGTGTGACATCATCAAGACGCGCACACAAACCGGAGGAGCAGCTCGGCAAAGCAGTAGCAGATGTGTTAGATGCAAATATCTATTTTACTGACGCGTAAAATTTATTCACTACCAATAAAAGCTTGAGTACTAATTTTCTTCACTATAATTATATTTAGCGGTAGTAAATAAATTTTCTACTAAACTTAAATAGTGCAATATTTGAAAGCACTACATACATATATACAGTGGTGAAAAAATTAATAGAAAAAAGTGTTTACAAGTTTAGACATTTTTCTTTGTTTTTTTTACTGTTTAATTCTTAATTTTTTGGAAAAGTCTAACACATTACATAAAAACAGGATATAAATCAACCTTTTAAACCAAGAGGTGGTCTTATTAGCATAAAAGAGAATAAAAGAAATGCCATCGGTGTTGAACAATATGCAAAAACAAATTTGCAAGCTTGGATCGATAACAAAATTTTGAGTGATCAAATTGAAGTTGTGCGTTTTTCTTTTGCCAAAGGTCCTTATTATGAGTTGCATTCGATCTTCGATAGCCAGCGAGCTATGCAAGCGTGTCGAAATTTTCGTTGAGTATCGAATTTTCTGTCTCCCACATTTTCCGCTTGTGCTGATTTAACAGTTGCCGAATCTCTAAATTAAGCTCCCTCAGACGGGGGTCCCCGGGATCGACCTGGCGTAGGTGGTCACGCACATTTGCTAGTACAGCTGCTTCGGCCGGGAAATCTGGGCGGACTTCCGCGATACGTCCGGACGGGATGAAGCGANTAACTGTAGGTGAGGGACCTTTGTGTGACATCATCAAGACGCGCACACAAACCGGAGGAGCAGCTCGGCAAAGCAGTAGCAGATGTGTTAGATGCAAATATCTATTTTACTGACGCGTAAAATTTATTCACTACCAATAAAAGCTTGAGTACTAATTTTCTTCACTATAATTATATTTAGCGGTAGTAAATAAATTTTCTACTAAACTTAAATAGTGCAATATTTGAAAGCACTACATACATATATACAGTGGTGAAAAAATTAATAGAAAAAAGTGTTTACAAGTTTAGACATTTTTCTTTGTTTTTTTTACTGTTTAATTCTTAATTTTTTGGAAAAGTCTAACACATTACATAAAAACAGGATATAAATCAACCTTTTAAACCAAGAGGTGGTCTTATTAGCATAAAAGAGAATAAAAGAAATGCCATCGGTGTTGAACAATATGCAAAAACAAATTTGCAAGCTTGGATCGATAACAAAATTTTGAGTGATCAAATTGAAGTTGTGCGTTTTTCTTTTGCCAAAGGTCCTTATTATGAGTTGCATTCGATCTTCGATAGCCAGCGAGCTATGCAAGCGTGTCGAAATTTTCGTTGAGTATCGAATTTTCTGTCTCCCACATTTTCCGCTTGTGCTGATTTAACAGTTGCCGAATCTCTAAATTAAGCTCCCTCAGACGGGGGTCCCCGGGATCGACCTGGCGTAGGTGGTCACGCACATTTGCTAGTACAGCTGCTTCGGCCGGGAAATCTGGGCGGACTTCCGCGATACGTCCGGACGGGATGAAGCGAGCCGCTGCGGCAGTGACTACCCTGCGGAACTGGTGTTCGTTAGTATGTACGTCTGTGGGTGTGGGAAGGGCGGCGAAGCTGCTCTCGGTAACTTCCGCGAAGGCGTCCCAATCAGCTTTGTTAAAGTTGGTATAGGTTCGGTGGTCCGCGGGAGCAAAGTCGGTGGGCTTATTGATCGAGATGATTATGGGTAGATGGTATGATGCTAGTGTTAGCATAGGTAGCCAAGATATGCGATTTATCAGACCAGCGCTAGCAATTGTGAGGTCTGGCGAGCTGCTGCAGCTACCCACAATCCTGGTGGGGGCGTCGTCGTTCATGGTGCAGAATGTCGTCGAATCGTCTATCTGCTCAGCCAAACGATTTTCCCTACGATCATTGGCTAGGCTTAAGTGCCAGAGATCGTGGTGCGCGTTGAAGCAGGCAGCAGGTGACGGGGTATATATACGTTAAATATCTCGAGCTCGACATCGCCTGCCCGGACATTTATGCCCTGACATTCTAGGGTGGTGTCCCTCGGGTCGATGTCTTCTTCGATAAGCCGATACTGCACTGTGTGGTGTAGGATGAAAGCTAATCCGCCACCATTATCTCGCTCGCGATCTTTACGGAGCACATTGTAGGCGGCCCACTATAGGCAAAACACGAGTTTTTTTTTCAAAATCGNCCACTGCAGGCAAAACAAGAGTTTTTTTCAAAATCGTAGATTTTCGGTTAGAAAAGAAATAATGGAATGAAAATTTTATTTTTTTTTTATCGTGGAGATAAATGATCATATAACGTAGGAAAACTATAGAGAAGTTACAATGACAATAACTTAGCCCACAAAATACAGTTCAAAATGTCACTTTTTTTGAAATTTTGGATTTTGGCTACCATTCTATTTGAAAACACTTTATTTAATACACCATTAGCACTGTTTCTGAGAGATTTCTCTTTATTAACCGACTTCCAAAAAAGGAGGAGGTTGTCAGTTCGTCGGAATATTTTTTTTTTTTTTTTATGTATGTTACCGCATAACTTTGGACCACGTCAACCGATTTCGATAATTCTTTTTGCATCGGAAAGGTAGTGTCTCAGAGGTGGTCCCATGCTAATCTGGTTAAGATCCGATCAGTGGATCATGAGATATATATATATATTTTTTTTATATGAGAGTTGAAGTCGGTTTTTTTTTTGCTAAAAATTACTCGTTTTATATTAAGACTCGATTTTTGGGACATTGGATGCTGTACCCGAGTAACCAGATTGGAAAAAGAAAAGCTTCCTTGAAACTCGTAAACTATCAGCTTTCACAAAAAAATTTTATATAATAAAAATTATTATACTGGTCGATATCTTTACGAAAGTGCAGCATTTAACCCTTTAATGCAGAGTCTGTCATATATGAGACGCTTTTTAACCCTTTCTAGGCAGAGGCAAAATGGTTCTCAACAACCATTGAACGTGCTTTTTCTCATGTTGACGTAGATATTAATCGTAGAAAATTTTTCCATAGCAAAATAATAATAATAATAAATAAATAATTTCAAAAAAAGTGACATTTTGAACGGTATTTTGAGGGTTAAGTTATGGTTGTTCGAACTTCTCTATAGTTTTCCTATATTATATGATCATTTATCTTCACGATAAATATAATTTTTCATTCCATTATCTCTTTTCCAAGCGAAGATCTACGATTTTGAAAAAAACTCGTGTTTTGCTGCTGCCCAGAGGAGCTTCTCGGAGCCGTGCAGGCCCTTCGGGTGTTGGGTGCATTGCGCGAGCGGGTAGCCGTGGAGGCTGATTGTGCCGTTTGGCTTGAGCAGCAGTGATAGTAGAAATATGTTTCTGGTCCGGGGTTGGGCTCAATGCCCGCCCGGAGAAGAAGGATGCGGAGCAATCCGGGTGCAAGGAGTTGCTCCATGGATGAACAATGATTGAAGGGTATCGCCGATCTAAGCGGGGTTAGATCGCCGAAACAACAGCCCTTGGTCGGGTAAAATCCGAGTCATTCCGGTACGTAGAACCGGCTGTCGTGGGAATGAAACTCGGTACGCCCGAAACTCAGTACGAATGCTGTAAGCAGGGTTAGGATTTTAAGGCATTTGCCTATTTTGTGTGCTTAGTCGTTTCTGTAAACAAAATAAAGAATCTCATGTTTCATGTCTTCCTTGATTAAAACTTTAAATTTTAGTTTCGCATTTGTTTGCCTTTTTGACTATATTGCCTTTTTAATATTTATCTTCGTAGAAGTTCGCTGTATTGTACCAATCGTGTGACTACAAAAAAATTGTCTTCTCAAATTTTTTTCATTTTGTACCAACAGCCCGCATGTACAAATCTGTACAACAGTACCAGTCGTAAAACAATGAATTAAAATTTGCAATATTAAAAAAAAATTCTACAAAATTTCGTAAAAATTTCGAGATTTTTTAATTAGATTTCCTAGAAAGATTCTGAGTATGTAGTTTTCTAGCCCATTGAATTATAGTAGAAAAAAGTACAAGTTTCAAATGGATAAAAACTATGGTTGGTTTTTAGAATTTTAAAAATGCTCGAAATTTTTACGAAAGCTTTTGAATATTCCAAAAAGTTGAAAACTTGGATTTACATGGGTTTTGTTAAAGAATGAACTATATTTTTATAAAAAGATAACCAAAATTAAATAAAACCAAAAGTAATGTGTTAAAACTTGGCAAAAAGTGGTTAATATAATAACAATAATAGATTGGCGCTTACACA